ACAACAGAAAAAATCGATCCCGGTCTGACCATAAGAAGTCTGATTAAGTGTGACTCATGTGTTTGCATGGTTTTTTAAAAGTCCGTTTTTAGTTGGGGTAAGGCAGTAAGTCTAGGGTGACCATATATGTCCTTTTTTACCCAGACATGTTCTCTTTTTGGGGGGACTGTCCAGGCTGTGCAGCTTTGTCCAGGGAAGTTTATAAAATCCTTCAAATGTCCACGGTTTTGTACATAAGTTTTGAGTTTGTGTCACATGGACTTACTGAGTTAGAAGTGCATAAAAGACACTCGATCCAACCTGAAAAAGTCTCAAAATTAACTTCTGTGACTCTGTGACTCCGCCAGCACATAGTCGTGTCCGAGTCTGACTTTTAGAAGTCTGATTTAGTGTGACTTGTGTTTGCATGGTTTTTAAAAGTCCATTTTTAGTTGGGGTTAAGCAGTTTTTGCCCTCTTTTTTGGGGGGCTGTTCGGGCTATCAATTTGCCCGGGGAAGTTTATAAAATCCTTCAAATGTCTGCGGTTTTGTACATAAGTTTTGAGTTTGTGTCACATGGATTTACTGAGTTAGAAGTGCTTTAATAAAACCCTAAGAAATTAACTTCCATGACTCCGCATAGTCGTGTCCTCTTTTTTGGGACGTCAGAATATGGTCACCCTAAGTAAGTCTTTTTTTTTTCAAGTGCATGTAACTGCACTGACTTTTCACCTGGTTCATGATGGTGAGAAGTCTGTTTACAGTCTATGTCAGGAAGTCAAAACTAGCAAGCTATTAGCCATCTTATCAAAAGCCTGACAAAGCTACTGCAGCCAGCTGGCGTCATGAAAAATGGATGCTTCATTACAACCTGCGGCCTGTATGTTGGGAAGGAAGAGACAACCTGTGCACACATTTCTTGAAGATAAGATTGAGTGAATCATCCTGATGAGGATGAGGTGTCCTGTGGATACAAGATGGGAAGAAAAGAATAATGATTCTTTTCAAGAACAAAGCACCCTGCAGTGTCTGCACAGTACATAATAAGGATGTATGATGGTTGGATGACATGAATACACAACTCATTGTACCCAAAACTCAAGGTTTTTTTTTTTGAGGGATTGCTGTTGTCTTGTTGAAATGTGACTTTTCCTAATGGTTTTTATAGGGTGACCATACGTCCTCTTTTACGCGGACATGTCCTCTTTCGGAGAGGCTGTCCGGCCTGCCCAAGGGGAGTTTATAAAATCCTTCAAATGGTTTTGTATGGAAGCCCGTTTTTTTTCACAGGCGGTAACCATTGTATTTACCGTACATGTTCAATGGTTCATGTGGAAACACACTCTGAGACGCCAAACCCCAGAACATGTATTCATTCTCGCACAACTCCGCCCCGCATAGTAGTGTCCTCTTTTGGGGGATTCAGAATAGTGATGGGCACGGCAGTTCTTTTAGATGTACTGAATCACTAGAATCAGTTCACTCAAAAGATTCGTTCACCAAATCACCGATTCATTTAGTGGGAAAAGCCTGCAACTCCGACCTCCTGAACTGATACACAGATGAATGTTCAGGATTCAGTTCAATTCATAACTTCTGGGACCAGGAGATGAGAGTGTTTGGTTGTGTTGCTTTGGCAAACAGGTTTGTAAAAATGAACTTGTTTGTAAGTCATGATGTCTAAAGTGTACTGTCCTATGGTATACTATTTACCAGGTCTGCTCAGTAAGTTGGGGTCAGTGAGTGATTCGTTCACTGAACGTTGAACTGCAATGATAGGATGTTGTGGGTTAAATGCACTACTTGTTACATGTTGTGTCCTATTGTATGAAAGTTGTTGTGGTGACAATTTCGCAAGGTAGTTTTGGCCGATATAAATGATTCCAGAGTGTAGTTCAATGAGTGATTCGTTCACCAAGGGATTCAGGCATGTGGTCCTTCGTTCCCTGGCTGCTGGCCTGGCAATGCTGTTTCTCACTTCAGCTCAACTGAAGTGAGAAACGAACGAATCACTCGAGGAAGTGATTCGGTTCAGTACGTTCACTTAAAAGATTAGGTTCTTTTGAACAAATCGTTTGCGAACGGCACAACACTAATTCAGAATATGGTCACCCTAGTTTTTAGGCATATAATTCTTTTCTACGATGAGGAAAAAGTATAATTTAGAAACTTTCTGATAGAGTTTTAAAGTAAAACACCAACTAATATCAGACTGACATGAAAACTGACTTCCCCTGACCAGGGGTGTTGTGAGCAGAGCAGGCAAGGGAACGCCACCCAACCAGTATATTCAGCATGTTCAAGAATAAATATATAAGATGTTCAACAAACATCTGTTGTTGTTGGCAGTGCCAGTGGTGTGACATGGTTGTCTTGGTCTGTATCTTTGTAACGAGAAGAAAGCAGCACAGCATACATGATCATTCACGTTGGTGATGTCCATGTCCAGCAAACTTAAAACTCTCTATGTGTGCTTGCGTGTCGTATTTATGTGGTATCCTTTTTCACTAACGTCATAAACAGTGTCTTCCCACTAAGATAATCCCCATTACACCTCTGCCTCGTACTGAATTTAAGTTCTCAATCACATTAGTCATTCTGTGCCAAAGCTGTGTAGAAAATAATTAGCTGCCAGGTTCAGATTCACCTCTAATCCCCTCAAAGCTAATGTGTTATCTTTTGTGGTGTACCTTGAAAATGTTGTTATAAGTGAGTCTTGGTTTGTTTAAGAAAACAGCTGCTGCAGTAAGTGAAACCATGCGTTTGTCCTTAAGGGAAAACAGTCAGCAAGGTTGGCTGCCCTTGGATGACTCTCATTCCCTTCTATGATATCAAGTACTGAGCCGTGTCCTTAAATCCTTCTACATGACTATATTTAACAGATTATGTAGTATGTTCATGGCTGGAAAATTAGCAATGAAGCACATTGAAACAGTTCATATGGATGAAAAACCTTCCAGATTTTTAATTGTGTTGTTGTTTAACACTGTTTCCTTTGGGTATATATACTATGCTGAACAATTTGGCTCTTAAATACGCTACACTACACATGGTCCCTGGCCACCGCTGCCTTAGGGAAAACTGCAGTCAGATGTGTATATCAGAGGAAATTTAAAACATTTCATCACTGCTGTTGTGTACAAAACAAACTGAATTAATGAGAAAATGACCAGAAATCCAAGGGGGAATTCATTTAAGCTGCAGATTGTATTTTCAGATTTCTTGGCAGTCTTTGCTTTCCTGCTACATTAGAGGCTCACAATGGGACTGGGTAAATATTTGTTCACTCTTCAACAAGGATCCACATAATTAACTTTACACTCATCATCTTTAATGCACCTGATGTAGCTTCGCTTTGCAATTCTATATAATTCTTATATTGAAACTTAAGTCGTTTTTTTTTTCCAGTTTTTGAGTACATTTATACATCACTACGTAGAGTGGGGTATATGCTATCAGAAGATAAGGCTGGTTTAGGGACCAGACCTCTCTTTCCCAAAATAGACAGCAATGATTGGTTGCTTTTTCTTTTTTTTTGTTGTTGTTGTTAACCTTGTACCTATTACACAAACAATCTCACTGTATATGTATGACTCCTTGATATCTTATAAAAGTTGAATAAACTGATGCTTGAGGAAACATACCCTTTAAGATAAGATTAGATAAGACAAGACAAGATATTCCTTTAATAGTCCGATGAGGGGTAATTCCAAATTTGCAGCAGCATAGCATAGATGCAAAGAGAGAAAAACTTTGAGTCAAAAAAGATATGTACGTACATGCATCATATTTACAGCTGTACATAATTTACATAATAATAGGATTCATAAATACTGACAAGAGAGGGATTTTAAGGGAAATTGCCAACACAATGGATGAACCATTCGAGGCAGGACTTCAGCCTTGCTGCAAACAGCTACAACATGTAAGTCATGTCATGTGCGCCCCTGATTATGCAAAACCCCTCAGAACTGTCGTTTAACTAAAAATTATAACTAGACTCTTTTTCTATACTGGCCTGTGAACATGTTTCTTAATGCTGAAAAAAAGGCTTTTTAATTGGGTGCATTGGGTGCCCTAACACTTTTTGTAGGAATCACACTGACTGCGTGACTACGTAAATAAGGCACCCTTTACAAACCACCGACAGCTTTTAACTCCCAAAAGAATTTTCTGACAAGAATAAAATGTATATAAGATGGAATCATAATCCATTAAGATAAATACATTTATTTATAAGATTAGGAAAGATAATAGTAAAATTTCTCCTCCTGCCTTCTGCAGCAGGACGACTGGTACACCAACAGAAGTGGACCAAAAGAGAATCATGGTGCAAGTCATTGCACTTTACCCAACTTTTGACATCAGACACGTAACATAATACTGAACCAGACCCCTTGATAGAAACAGACAGCGTGACCTCCAGTTCTTTTGTAGACAGCCTCAAGTGGACAATAAAAGAACTGCAGTTTCCAGCGTTCCCGTATTGGCCGTATGGTTTAGCTTGATGACCGTGATAGCTTCCATCCTGTCATCGCCCATATTTTCTTGTACGCTAAAAACACCTCTGATTGAGGCATTTCAAATTCAGAGAGTGAGGAATCTGGTTGTTTGTGAATGAAATCTGTTTGTATGGTGTGCTGTGCTGGTCATCTCTTTGCTCTCCAAACACTGCAAGAACAATCCTTTTACCATTACTCTTTGTCATGTGTTGGTCACTCACATTTTCAACTCCTGTTAAGATTTTAAAAGTCTTTGCATATGGAAAAAACCTTCATTGAAGACTTTGACCAGCTGACAATACAAGAGGAACATCAGTTATTACCTGCATACAACCTTTATCAGTTTGCATCAAACATCTAAATAGGAGGCAGTTTTATTTTCACTTCAGCGGTGGTGTCAACAATGTCAACTTCCTATGCACCTACTGTTCCTGGACGTATAATCATTAACAGTTTGGCTGTAGCCTTGTCCCTGTTAGTGTAAACTGTGTCTTCTTGCAGAATCTGCACGTTCTCAGGTCAAAACAGAATGTCCTGATAGGCAGAGCTGACAGCTGTGTCAGATTGTTTTCCTTGTTCCCTCTCTTCCTCCTCCTCCAAAAACACCGGCTGCCTGGAGTCCTTGGTATCCAGCAGAGTGATCACATGTCTCCCAGACTCCAGTAAATCACACAGCACAGAGCGAGATGGGCTGGACAAAGAAAACAGGCTGATAGTGAGAGAGGTGCTGCTGCTGCTGGTGGTGGTGTTGGTGTTGGTGGGGGGTGGGGATGGGAGGGAAGGGAAGGGGAGGGGAGCATGGTGGCACGTGTTTGAAGTAGCCCAGCTCATACCCATCCAGATGAGCGAGAGCACGTGGACGGGGGAAGGAGGGAGCTGCCAGAGTGACGGCTGTAGGGTGGAGGGGTTGTCCAAGAGGAAAACAGGCACCTCTGCAACAGGAGCCAACAGCAGCAGCAGCAGCAGCGGACCCATGTGACAGCTCTATTGTTGTTGCAAATAACTTCACTTTCATGGTGAATGATAAGACGTGTCACGTGACAGAGGAGTGGAAAACACCATTTTATCATAACAACAAAATACAATGACTTTGTCTTTAAAGGTTAGTTCTTAATAATAACAACTTTGGTCTTATTTTATCACAGTTTCAGCCACTGCTTCTTCTCATGTAAGAAGATTGGCAAGTTTGTTGCTGACATGACACTGTGAGTCTGTATTTACCGTGTATAGGTAATTCAAGAAAGAAATACTTATTCAGAGTCAAAGTGTTATAAGCCAAACCATTAGTATTTGTTGACTGGACCACGGTGTGTTTCACAGTGACTCCCTCTTCAAGTTTGCAGTGGTAGTATATGTTTTTTGGACCTTAGTCGTATGTTATCATCTCTTTACTCTTTCTTTTTTCCCCTCTTTGGTCTTGAAAACAGCCCCAGAGGCCAAACAGAAGTGTGGAAGTGACAGTTATCTTTGTGGGTGGATTTCTTTACTAGCTCCAGGCAAATATCTCTTTCACTTTTACAACTTGCCACTTTTTTTGCCTTGGGACACTAAAACTTGAAACAAAAGCTAAATTACCCCTGACTTTTGGTGGCTTTCTGCCAAAAACTGGAGTTAGACTAAATATTTAGGGCCCGAGCCAGCTGCAGAGCAGCCGGGCGTAGGCCCTGTTATTCCTGTAGGGGTTTTTCTTTGTTTCTTTCTTAGGGCCCGAGCGTAGCTGCTAAGCAGCTGCGAGAGCCCTATTATTCCCCAAGGGGTTTTTCTTTGTTTCTTTCTTTCTTCTTTTTCCTCCCCTTTGAACTGGAAAATGGCCCACTTCCCACTGGCGAAAACTCATGAAATTTGGCAGGATGACCGGGCCTGGTGAAAAATTTGATATTCCGAAGTCGCCCAAACAAGAAAATGCAAAATGGCTCCATAGCGCCCCCTAAGGTGAAAATTCACACTATTGACTGTCACGCCTGAACGCTTTGTCATATTGACACAAAAATTGACACACATATGTATCTCAATAAGATCTACAAAAAAGTCAGTGCGGGCGTATCTGTCAAATGTACGGTTAAAGGGTTATTGCGCATTTTTTTCCGATCCGCACACATTGGAATTTCGCTAACTCCTCCGAAGGCTTTCGTTCCACCGGCACCACATTTGCTCAGGCCAATCTTCACCCCGTGGCCATTAAAAGTTATCAAAATCATGACGCTGCACCCCAAGGTTTAGGTTCTAGGGGGCGCCAAAGATAACACTAAAATCCACATATTTAAAAGTCTTATAACTTTTTATTTTTGTCCTCACTGGCCTCCAAGTTTTCTAGGATGATGCAATGTCCAGCCATCAACACATTTGTGAAGGAATTTTTACTCCCCAAAAGAGCGCCCCCCCATGGCAGGAGAAAAAAGTCCATTTTTTCTTGTCCCCTAAGGTGAAAATACACATTGTTGAGTGTCACGCCTATACGCTTTGTCAAAATGACACAAAAATTGACACACACATGTAACTCAATAAGATCTACGAAAAAGTCAATGCGCGCGTATCTTTCAAATGTACGGTTAAAGGGTTATTCCGCATTTTTTGCCGATCCGCACACATTGGAATGTGGCTAACTCCTCCGAAGGCTTTCGTTCCACCGGCACCACATTTGCTCAGGCCAATCTACACCCCATGGCCATTAAAAGTTATCAAAATCATGACGCTGCACCCCACGGTTTAGGTTCTAGGGGGCGCCAAAGATAACCCTAAAATCCACATATTTAAAAGTCTTATAACTTTTTATTTTTGTCCTCACTGGCCTCCAAGTTTTCTAGGATGATGCAATGTCCAGCCATCAACACATCTGTGAAGGAATTTTTACTCCCCAAAAGAGCGCCCCCCCATGGCAGGAGAAAAAAGTCCATTTTTTCTTGTCCCTTAAGGTGAAAATACATATTGTTGAGATTCACGCCTATACGCTTTGTCATATTGACACAAAATTTGACAATCACGTGCCTTGCCTGGTATCATTTTTTTCAGCACAACCTCACCTGTGCGAATTTACAGTTATTTTATCATGTTGACATACTGAATTTACACAATTGACCCAAATTCACACACAAAACATAAAATCCGAGTGGAAAAAAGTAACATTTTTACTGTGAAAACCACAAATATGTGTGATGAACTGTTTTTAAAACTTAAACTTCAAATAAAAATTGTAAACTTCAAAACATATGCAAATTTTTAACAAAGAACATAGTGATTTACCTCTATTTACATCAAAATGCAGGCAATGGCCCAGGCGTTCTTTGTAAAATTATTTACAAAACACTGTATAGTCTCACAAATGTCACTTTTTATTTATGCCACTACAAAAAAACATGATGTAAATGATGCATGATGTAAAACATGATGTAAAAAACTTGTGTAGATCCTCCTCTATGTCAGTCCATGTGTAATTTTTCCATAATTCTTTGTTTTTTGCAGCATTTTTGTTAGTGTAACTGCAGATTGTGCTGACAGTGTCTATGGCACAAAAAAAAAAAAAATTAAAATGCCTCAACATGAACCCCTGGTGGTCTCTGAGGGTGAAACCTGCTAACTGCTGCAGCTCTGTCAGCTTCAGTCTCCCATGCAGAGCTCTGAGCGCATGTGTGGCTCTGCACCCTTAGCAGCGTTGCTAACTCCTCAGTAAGGAAAGCCTGCTTCATGTCAGAGTCTCTAAACTCCAGAAGAAGTCGATAAAAGTCCCTTTCTTTCTAAAAAAAAGTCGTTAGGGGGTCTGAAAAGTCATTGAATCTAACAACAAAGTCGCTAGGTTTGCAACTACGTGTCCCAGACTGCATCCCTGCTGAGAGTCCCTCCCTCCCTTCTCATGTTGCAGGAAGAACGTAAGCACCCGCCCCTTGTCAATCAGTCACCATATAATTTTGGATTGGTTGTTGTGGTGAAGTTTTCCACCAATAGGAGAGATGTTGTGGTGTGTTTTTTTTTTCTTTTGGCAAGCCTTTTCCGCCTGTAAGACCTGTCGCTAATGTCTGCATGCTATGTTTTCCTGTCTCATACAGCGCGATCGAGCGCCGAACGTGATCAAAATAAGCAGAAAAAAAGTATCGCGGACATAATTTATCATAACTCTGGTTTTATTTGGCCTATCAACACAATTTAAAAACTGGTATATAGGTTGAGGTCCTCACTTTTGAGATAAGTTGAAACGGAGAGTCAACGAGGCTCCGTCTTGCAGCTACATCCGGTTAAATATGTCATGTGACTTGAACGCACACACAGACACACACACACGCACACACACACACACACACACACACACACACACACACACACACTCAGAGTCTGGTTTTTAGCACCTGCAAAAACATGCTATTTACATATTTGACAAGAATGCAGAGGCTCCTTTTGCCCCTGAAAAAAATCAAATTTCAAACACAATTTGACTGGTCATTTCTCCAAAAGACAACCATGAAGCTCCATCCAAACCTGAAGCAGGCAGTTGGTGCATGTGTACAGTAACCTGAGGGGAGTGAGGTGAGTGCTTCTGAGGAGAACATGAGCAGTGAAGATTCACCTTGGAGCTAGAACAGAGACATGCACATGATTATACAGGGGCAGGGGCTCAAGTTTTTTCCAGTCGTTTATACAATATGGAAATTAATGTGAAATTAAAACACAAAGTAATAATAGAAAGGTAATGACTGTCCTGTGTAGGTGACAGTGATATCCAATAGGCTAGGCACTCACGAGGCTGGCTGTGGCAAGTGTAAGTGAAAGCAACACGCACTGGCAGGAAGAACAGCAAACGCCGATGAAGGAAAAGGGTCTTTGCAGTGATGGGCGTTACCAGAGAGGGCGATGGCCAGAGGACACAAATGGGACGGGGAGGCAGCACGTTGGGGGGGGGGGGGGGGGCGCGACATGGCTCGGGCCCGCCAGTGCCCCAACGGGGTCCTAGTTAGGGCCCGAGCGTAGCTGCTAAGCAGCTGCGAGAGCCCTCTTGTTCCTGATGGATTCTTCTTTCGTTATTTTTCCTCCGCTTTAAACTGGAAAATGGCCCACTTCCCACTGGCGAAAACTCAGGAAATTTGGCAGGACGACCGGGCCTGGTGAAAAATTTGATATTCTGAAGTCGCCCAAACAAAAAAATGAAAAATGGCTCCATAGCGCCCCCTATGGTGAAAACTCACCTGACGCCTGTACGCTTTGTCAAAATGACACAAAATTTGACACACATGTGTATCTCAATAAGATCTACAAAAAAGTCAGTGCGGGCGTATCTGTCAAATGTACGGTTAAAGGGCTATTTCGCATTTTTTGCCGATCCGCACACATTGAAATTTCGCTAACTCCTCCGAAGGCTTTCGTTCCACCGGCACCAAATTTGCTCAGGCCAATCTACACCCCATGGCCATTAAAAGTTGTACAAATCATGATGCTGCACCCCACGGTTTACGTTCTAGGGGGCGCCAAAGATAACCCTAAAATCCACATATTTAAAAGTCTTATAACTTTTTATTTTTCTCCTCACTGGCCTCCAAGTTTTCTAGGATGATGCAATGTCCAGCCATCAACACATTTGTGAAGGAATTTTTACTCGCCAAAAGAGCGCCCCCCCATGGCAGGAGAAAAAAGTCCATTTTTTCTTGTCCCCTAAGGCGAAAATACACATTGTTGAATGTCACGCCTGTACGCTTCGTCATATTGACACAAAATTTGACAATCACGTGTATCTCAATAAGATCTACGAAAGAGTCAATGCGCGCGTATCAGTAAAATGTACGGTTAAAGGGCTATTTCGCATTTTTTGCCGTTTCGCACACATTGGAATGTGGCTAACTCCTCCGAAGGCTTTCGTCCCACTGACACCAAATTTGCTCAGGCCAATCTACACTCCATGGCCATTCAAAGTTGTAAAAATCATGACGCTGCACCCCACGGTCTACGTTCTAGGGGGCGCCAAAGAGGACCCAAATATCCACATTTTTAAAAGTCTTATAACTTTTTATTTTTGTCCTCACTGGCCTCCAAGTTTTCTAGGATGATGCAATGTCCAGCCATCAACACATTTGTGAAGGAATGTTTACTCCCCAAAAGAGCGCCCCCCCATGGCAGGAGAAAAAAGTCCATTTTTTCTTGTCCCCTAAGGTGAAAATACACATTGTTGAGTGTCATGCCTGTACGCTTTGTCAAAATAACACAAAATTCGACACACACGTGTATCTCAATAAGATCTACGAAAAAGTAAATGCACGCGTATCTGTCAAATGTACGGTTAAAGGGCTATTTCGCATTTTTTGCCGATTCGCACACATTGGAATGTAGCTAACTCCTCCTAAGGCTTTCGCTCCACCGGCACCAAATTTGCTCAGGCCAATCTACACCCCATGGCCATTCAAAGTTGTAAAAATCATGACGCTGCACCCAACGGTTTAAGTTCTAGGGGGCGCCAAAGATGACCCAAATATCCATATTCTTAAAAGTGTTATAACATTTTATTTTTGTCCTCACTGGCCTCCATGTTTTCTAGGATGATGCAATGTCCAGCCATCAACACATTTGTGAAGGAGTTTTTTCTCGTTAAAAGAGCGCCCCCCATGGCAGGAGAATAAAGTCAAGTTTTTCCTGTTCATCGTTCAATGGCTCAAACGCATCGCTCTCTCGGCAAAAGCGAAAGGAGGAGCAACTTGCCATTTGGATATATCTTAGCTGTGTTTGTGCCCTCACTCATGGTCCAGACTTTTTTCAAATAGGACATGGAGTTTTTCTGCAGCAAGCGTTTTGGTAGAAACTGCGCCTCCCATTCATTATAATGGTAAATGACCACAGACAAGTGCGCACACCATCTTTGGACCTTGAGTGTGACGCGATTGGGTGGGGGAGGCGGTCGCGCTGGGGGCGGCGCGACACGGCTCGGGCCCGCCAGTGCCCCACCGGGGCCCTAGTTTCTTCTTTTTCCTCCCCTTTGAACTGGAAAATGGCCCACTTCCCACTGGCGAAAACTCATGAAATTTGGCAGGACGACCGGGCCTGGTGAAAAATTTGATATTCCGAAGTCGCCCAAACAAGAAAATGCAAAATGGCTCCATAGCGCCCCCTAAGGTGAAAATTCACACTATTGACTGTCACGCCTGTATGCTTTGTCAAAATGACACAAAAATTGACACACACATGTATCTCAATAAGATCTACAAAAAAGTCAGTGTGGGCGTATCTGTCAAATGTACGGTTAAAGGGTTATTTCGCATTTTTTGCCGATCCGCACACATTGGAATTTCGCTAACTCCTCCGAAGGCTTTCGTTCCACCGGCACCACATTTGCTCAGGCCAATCTACACCCCATGGCCATTAAAAGTTATTCAAATCATGACGCTGCACCCCACGGTTTAGGTTCTAGGGGGCGCCAAAGATAACCCTAAAATCCACATTTTTAAAAGTCTTATAACTTTTTATTTTTGCCCTCACTGGCCTCCAAGTTTTCTAGGATGATGCAATGTCCAGCCATCAACACATTTGTGAAGGAATTTTTACTCCCCAAAAGAGCGCCCCCCCATGGCAGGAGAAAAAAGTCCATTTTTTCTTGTCCCCTAAGGTGAAAATACACATTGTTGAGTGTCATGCCTGTACGCTTTGGCAAAATTACACAAAAATTGACACACACATGTATCTCAATAAGATCTACAAAAAAGTCCATGCGCGCGTATCTGTCTAATGTACGGTTAAAGGGTTATTCCGCATTTTTTGCCGATTCGCACACATTGGAATTTCGCTAACTCCTCCGAAGGCTTTCGTTCCACCGGCACCACATTTGCTCAGGCCAAATTACACCCCATGGCCATTAAAAGTTATTCAAATCATGACGCTGCACCCCACGGTTTACGTTCTAGGGGGCGCCAAAGATAACCCAAAAATCCACATTTTTAAAAGTCTTTTAACTTTTTATTTTTGTCCTCACTGGCCTCCAAGTTTTCTAGGATGATGCAATGTCCAGCCATCAACACATTTGTGAAGGAATTTTTACTCCCTAAAAGAGCGCCCCCCCCATGGCAGGAGAAAAAAGTCCATTTTTTCTTGTCCCCTAAGGTGAAAATACACATTGTTGACTGTCACGCCTGTACGCTTTGGCAAAATGACACAAAAATTGACAATCATGTGTATCTCAATTAGATCTACGAAAAAGTCAAAGAGCGCGTATCTGTATAATGTACGGTAAAAGGGCTATTTTGCATTTTTTGCCAATTCGCACACATTGGAATTTCGCTAACTCCTCCTAAGGCCTTCGTCCCACTGACACCAAATTTGCTCAGGCCAATCTACACCCCGTGGCCATTAAAAGTTATTCAAATCATGACGCTGCACCCCACGGTTTACGTTCTAGGGGGCGCCAAAGATAACCCAAAAATCCACATTTTTAAAAGTCTTATAACTTTTTATTTTTGTCCTCACTGGCCTCCAAGTTTTCTAGGATGATGCAATGTCCAGCCATCAACACATTTGTGAAGGAATTTTTACTCCCTAAAAGAGCGCCCCCCCATGGCAGGAGAAAAAAGTCAATTTTTTCTTGTCCCCTAAGGTGAAAATACACATTGTTGAGTGTCACGCCTGTACGCTTTGGCAAAATGACACAAAAATTGACAATCATGTGTATCTCAATTAGATCTACGAAAAAGTCAAAGAGCGCGTATCTGTATAATGTACGGTAAAAGGGCTATTTTGCATTTTTTGCCGATTCGCACACATTGGAATTTCGCTAACTCCTCCTAAGGCTTTCGTCCCACTGACACCAAATTTGCTCAGGCCAATCTACACTCCATGGCCATTCAAAGTTGTAAAAATCATGACGCTGCACCCCACGGTTTACGTTTTAGGGGGCGCCAAAGATGACCCAAATATACATTACAGTAGACAAAGTAGTTTTGCCCACTGAGTGGCGCCAAAGGGACTTGTCTGTGGAGTCTGTGAGTCACTATTGGCCGTTTTTGACTACTTTAGATTTTACCTTTATATTTCCTCTTACAAAATTTTTACCTTGCCTTGCCTGGTATCATTTTTTTCAGCACAACCTCACCTGTGTCAATTTACAGTTATTTTATCATTTTGACATACTATATTTACACATTGGACCCAAATTCACACACAAAACATAAAATCCGAGTGGAAAAAAGTAACGTTTTTACTGTGAAAACCACAAATATGTGTGATGAACTGTTTTTAAAACTTAAACTTCAAATAAAAATTGTAAACTTCAAAACATATGCAAATTTTTAACAAAGAACATAGTAATTTACCTCTATTTACATCAAAATGCAGGCAATGGCCCAGGTGTTCTTTGTAAAATTATTTACAAAACACTGTATAGTCTCACAAATGTCACTTTTTATTTATGCCACTACAAAAAAACATGATGTAAATGATGCATGATGTAAAACATGATGTAAAAAACTTGTGTAGATCCTCCTCTATGTCAGTCCATGTGTAATTTTTCCATAATTCTTTGTTTTTTGCAGCATTTTTGTTAGTGTAACTGCAGATTGTGCTGACAGTGTTTATGGCAAAAAAAAAAAAAAAAAAAAAAAACTGAAAATGCCTCAACATGAACCCCTGGTGGTCTCTGAGGGTGAAACCTGCTAACTGCTGCAGCTCTGTCAGCTTCAGTCTCCCATGCAGAGCTCAGAGCGCATGTGTGGCTCTGCACCCTTAGCAGCGTTGCTAACTCCTCAGTAAGGAAAGCCTGCTTCATGTCAGAGTCTCTAAACTCCAGAAGAAGTCGATAAAAGTCACTTTCTTTCTAAAAAAAAAAGTCGTTAGGGGGTCTGAAAAGTCATTGAATCTAACAACAAAGTCGCTAGGTTTGCAACTACGTGTCCCAGACTGCATCCCTGCTGAGAGTCCCTCCCTCCCTTCTCATGTTGCAGGAAGAACGTAAGCGCCCGCCCCTTGTCAATCAGTCACCATATAATTTTGGATTGGTTGTTGTGGTGAAGTTTTCCACCAATAGGAGAGATGTTGTGGTGTGTTTTTTTTTTCCTTTGGCAAGCCTTTTCCGCCTGTAAGACCTGTCGCTAATGTCTGCATGCTATGTTTTCCTGTCTCATACAGCGCGATCGAGCGCCGAACGTGATCAAAATAAGCAGAAAACAAGTATCGCGGACATAATTTATCATAACTCTGGTTTTATTTGGCCTATCAACACAATTTAAAAACTGGTATATAGGTTGAGGTCCTCACTTTTGAGATAAGTTGAAACGGAGTCAACGAGGCTCCGTCTTGCAGCTACATCCGGTTAAATATGTCATGTGACTTGAACGCACACACACACACACACACACACACACAGACACACACACACACGCACACACACACACTCAGAGTCTGGTTTTTAGCACCTGCAAAAACATGCTATTTACATATTTGACAAGAATGCAGAGGCTCCTTTTGCCCCTGAAAAAAATCAAATTTCAAACACAACTTGACTGGTCATTTCTCCAAAAGACAACCATGAAGCTCCATCCAAACCTGAAGCAGGCAGTTGGTGCATGTGTACAGTAACCTGAGGGGAGTGAGGTGAGTGCTTCTGAGGAGAACATGAGCAGTGAAGATTCACCTTAACATAATTAATTCACCTCCTGTGTAGGTGACAGTGATATCCAATAGGCTAGGCACTCACGAGGCTGGCTGTGGCAAGTGTAAGTGAAAGCAACACGCACTGGCAGGAAGAACAGCAAACGCCGATGAAGGAAAAGGGTCTTTGCAGTGATGGGCGTTACCAGAGAGGGCGATGGCCAGAGGACACAAATGGGACGGGGAGGCAGCGTGTTGGGGGGGGGGACGCGACACGGCTCGGGCCCGCCAGTGCCCCAACGGGGTCCTAGTTTCTTTTTCCTCCCCTTTGAACTGGAAAATGGCCCACTTCCCACTGGCAAAAACTCATGAAATTTGGCAGGACGACCGGGCCTGGTGAAAAATTCGATATTCTGAAGTCGCCCAAACAATAAAATGCAAAATGGCTCCATAGCGCCCCCTAAGGTGGAAATTCACACTATTGACTGTCACGCCTGTACGCTTTGTCATATTGACACAAAAATTGACACACATATGTATCTTAATAAGATCTACAAAAAAGTCAGTGCGGCCGTATCTGTCAAAATTACGGTTAAAGGGTTATTTCGCATTTTTTGCCGATCCGCACACATTGGAATTTCGCTAACTCCTCCGAAGGCTTTCGTTCCACCGGCACCACATTTGCTCAGGCTAATCTACACCCCGTGGCCATTAAAAGTTATCAAAATCATGACGCTGCACCCCAAGGTTTGGGTTCTAGGGGGCGCCAAAGATAACACTAAAATCCACATATTTAAAAGTCTTTTAACTTTTTATTTTTGTCCTCACTGGCCTCCAAGTTTTCTAGGATGATGCAATGTCCAGCCATCAACACATTTGTGAAGGAATTTTTACTCCCCAAAAGAGCGCCCCCCCATGGCAGAAGAAAAAAGTCCATTTTTTCTTGTCCCCTAAGGTGAAAATACACATTGTTGAGTGTCACGCCTATACGCTTTGTCAAAATGACACAAAAATTGACACACACATGTAACTCAATAAGATCTACGAAAAAGTCAATGCGCGCGTATCTGTCAAATGTACGGTTAAAGGGTTATTCCGCATTTTTTGCCGATCCGCACACATTGGAATGTGGCTAACTCCTCCTAAGGCTTTCGTTCCACCGGCACCACATTTGCTCAGGCCAATCTACACCCCATGGCCATTAAAAGTTATTCAAATCATGACGCTGCACCCCACGGTTTAGGTTCTAGGGGGCGCCAAAGATAACCCTAAAATCCACATATTTAAAAGTCTTATAACTTTTTATTTTTGTCCTCACTGGCCTCCAAGTTTTCTAGGATGATGCAATGTCCAGCCATCAACACATTTGTGAAGGAATTTTTACTCCCCAAAAGAGCGCCCCCCATGGCAGGAGAAAAAAGTCCATTTTTTCTTGTCCCCTAAGGTGAAAATACATATTGTTGAGATTCACGCCTATACACTTTGTCATATTGACACAAAATTTGACAATCACGTGCCTTGCCTGGTATCATTTTTTTCAGCACAACCTCACCTGTGCGAATTTACAGTTATTTTATCATGTTGACATACTGAATTTACACAATGGACCCAAATTCACACACAAAACATAAAATCCGAGTGGAAAAAAGTAACATTTTTACTGTGAAAACCACAAATATGTGTGATGAACTGTTTTTAAAACTTAAACTTCAAATAAAAATTGTAAACTTCAAAACATATGCAAATTTTTAACAAAGAACATAGTGATTTACCTCTATTTACATCAAAATGCAGGCAATGGCCCAGGCGTTCTTTGTAAAATTATTTACAAAACACTGTATAGTCTCACAAATATCACTTTTTATTTATGCCACTACAAAAAAACATGATGTAAATGATGCATGATGTAAAACATGATGTAAAAAACTTGTGTAGATCCTCCTCTATGTCAGTCCATGTGTAATTTTTCCATAATTCTTTGTTTTTTGCAGCATTTTTGTTAGTGTAACTGCAGATTGTGCTGACAGTGTCTATGGCACTTAAAAAAAAATAATTAAAATGCCTCAACATGAACCCCTGGTGGTCTCTGAGGGTGAAACCTGCTAACTGCTGCAGCTCTGTCAGCTTCAGTCTCCCATGCAGAGCTCTGAGCGCATGTGTGGCTCTGCACCCTTAGCAGCATTGCTAACTCCTCAGTAAGGAAAGCCTGCTTCATGTCAGAGTCTCTAAACTCCAGAAGAAGTCGATAAAAGTCCCTTTCTTTCTAAAAAAAAAAGTCGTTAGGGGGTCTGAAAAGTCATTGAATCTAACAACAAAGTCGCTAGGTTTGCAACTACGTGTCCCAGACTGCATCCCTGCTGAGAGTCCCTCCCTCGCTTCTCATGTTGCAGGAAGAAAGTAAGCGCCCGCCCCTTGTCAATCAGTCACCATATAATTTTGGATTGGTTGTTGTGGTGAAGTTTTCCACCAATAGGAGAGATGTTGTGGTGTGTTTTTTTTTTCTTTTGGCAAGCCTTTTCCGCCTGTAAGAGCTGTCGCTAATGTCTGCATGCTATGTTTTCCTGTCTCATACAGCGCGATCGAGCGCCGAACGTGATCAAAATAAGCAGAAAAAAAGTATCGCGGACATAATTTATCATAACTCTGGTTTTATTTGGCCTATCATCACAATTTAAAAACTGGTATATAGGTTGAGGTCCTCACTTTTGAGATAAGTTGAAACGGAGAGTCAACGAGGCTCCGTCTTGCAGCTACATCCGGTTAAATATGTCATGTGACTTGAACGCACACACAGACACACACACACGCACACACACACACACACTCAGAGTCTGGTTTTTAGCACCTGCAAAAACATGCTATTTACATATTTGACAAGAATGCAGAGGCTCCTTTTGCCCCTGAAAAAAATCAAATTTCAAACACAACTTGACTGGTCATTTCTCCAAAAGACAACCATGAAGCTCCATCCAAACCTGAAGCAGGCAGTTGGTGCATGTGTACAGTTACCTGAGGGGAGTGAGGTGAGTGCTTCTGAGGAGAACATGAGCAGTGAAGATTCACCTTGGAGCTAGAACAGAGACATGCACATGATTATACAGGGGCAGGGGCTCAAGTTTTTTCCAGTCGTTTATACAATATGGAAATTAATGTGAAATTAAAACACAAAGTATTAATAGAAAGGTAATGACTGTCCTGTGTAGGTGACAGTGATATCCAATAGGCTAGGCACTCACGAGGCTGGCTGTGGCAAGTGTAAGTGAAAGCAACACGCACTGGCAAGAAGAACAGCAAACGCCAATGAAGGAAAAGGGTCTTTGCAGTGATGGGCGTTACCAGAGAGGGCGATGGCCAGAGGACACAAATGGGACGGGGAGGCAGCACATTGGGGGGGGGACGCGACACGGCTCGGGCCCGCCAGTGCCCCAACGGGGTCCTAGTATGATTTGTATCTTCAACTGTTACAATCATAAGTTGTTGTTTTTTTTTTCATTTTGAGGAGAGATCAATATCAAATGAGTTGTGTCTTCCTATTTTTTCTCTTTTATGATTGAAATAAAACTTTATCTATGCAGAGGAAAGCGTAAGTTTCTTGATGCACTTTAACAGTTAAAGGTTGGCAGACATGGGCACAGTTATATACTGTAACTCAGCTAACTATTAATACATAACTAAACAAGTTAACAAACACACCAATTAATAAGTTATTTCTATTAGAAATTAACCGCAGATCACATTCGCTTCATTCCTGTTGATGGTCTGCTGATCAGGGTCCCAAAGGTCCAAGACATCAACACATCACATCAACTGAGTGATCACAGACAACATCTCGGTACTACTTAGTTGCAGAACACGCCCCCCGTAAAAATTGTTGTTCAGGACTGCACGCAACATGATTACTCATGCTTCCTACCAATTCGGCTATCGTAATAACCATTGTTCACGTCTACACAAAACATTTTTGTTCTCATTTGTAAAATGCTTAAATCAGGGATATTTCCGGGGACAGCTTCAGCCGGGGACAGGTCAACAAATACTGGGACTGTCCCTAGAAATTGGGGACGTCTGGTCACGTTAATGTATTGCTGAGTGCTTAGCTCTGAAAAGTAGTTCTCAGTCAAAAGTAGCCAATTGTAGCAGTGACTTCCTATATGATGAGTGTTATTCTTGATCTGTTAAGAAGACAAACAAGAGTAGAAGTGGAGTTTCATCTTAGGTTGGGAAACCAATTCTTGTATCCTCAAAATAAATCCTTGTGCTGATTTTGAACTGACACAAAACTAGCTGTATGCTTTGCTTGATGAATGCTAGTTTGTCTTTGGATGAGCTTGTTCTTTGAGCTACCAACACAACTACGATGAACAGTTTGACACTGTAAACCTCTGATCTGCTCAAGGTGACCAGATTTCTGTAATGAAATCCAGGGACATCTGGGGACACCGAGGAAGTGGGGGCTGCTAAGCAAAATGTGATTTCAGGCCCTCGTAAAAACTTTGTAGGACTCTGTGCAACAGGCTTATTCGCGCTTCCTACCTACTCGGCTACCATAATAAATGGTGTTCTAGTCTACACACAACATTTTTTTTCTCATTCATGAAACGCATAAATCGGGGACATTTCCAGGGACAGCTTTAGCCGGGGACAGGTCATCCAAAACAGGGACTGTCCCCGGATATCGGGAATAGCCAACAGTACTTTGGTGCTTCACTTTGGAAATGTGTTAGCTGAGGCTGCTAGCGTCTCCCACATCCATCTCATGGGCCACAAATCTAGAAAGTTTTTGCAAGAGGTTTCCTTAGTCACTTAGTTTTGTCTGAGAATATCTTTACAATGTAAATCCATTTGCTGACTCCATGAGGCTAACTGTAAGCTAGCTCAGCTAAATGCAGGTTTGGCTAGCCTAAGCTCTTTTTACATCTTGAATCCGAGTATTTTGTGGAGCCATTCAGGTAAAATCCTTCAAACACTTTCTCTGCTGACTCAAGTATTTGTGGTGAGCCCCCCAGGAAGTCGAGCCAGCTACTCGCATAACTGTACTGTAACCCTTTCTCAGTTCCCAGCGTTGGACTTTCACCCCGTCTGTTGTCATGCGGCTTAGTTTATGAGAGAACCACAAAACAGAGAGGAGGTGAAACTAGAATTGAAAATCATATTAAAAGAGCTTTCTGAGCCAATTTGCCCTCGAAGCTGAAAGTTGTGTGACCTCTGTTTTAATCACTTGTCACAGTGACAAATTTAGATCATTTTTATGAGTGGGTGTTGAGTTTTTTGGAAGCAGATCGTATTTGATGCAGGGACTCTGCCAAAGCTTAGAGTTGAGCAAATTACCAGCCCTGCTCAGCAAGGTGAGAGATAAATCACCATCACTGTAACCTTGTTGAAAATTCATTGTATATTTCCCGGCTGCAGGGGCTCCTGAGTGTTCATGCTGACACATTACATGCTGCAGGAGCACACCTGCTGGGTTTTGGTCTCCTTCTCCCTTTTCCCCCTCCTCCTCCTCAGCTCCCCTCCCCCCCTCTGTCTAAACCCAGCCCTGTTTCCTGGCAATGTGGTTAGAGAGCCGTTGGGCTGCGTCTTTGTTTGTGTTCCCTCGGCTTCCTCTTTTTTTGCTGCGAGCTTCAGCAGAGCACAGATAGTTAGAGCGCTGCTTCCCTTCCCCCCACCCGACCATATCCACGCCTCAGCATGGTGCTACATGCCAAGCGACCTGAGACGCTCTCTGACTCGCAGTGCAATCCGCTGACTTTTATTGGCAGAGCTGTTTATCGCAAACAGTGTAGACAAAGCGCATGGCAGTTGATTCATTAAACCCATAATGAGGTGGTGTGTTGTTTGGTTTGACAAAATAATTAATTATCCTCATGTTTTCAAAACAGACTACCACTTACATCATTAGAAACAATTATGGCCTCCAGAGCACGGGGCTGGTATACAGTGCTGCTCAATAATATCTATAATAACAAGGAGCAGATACAAGTTTCTTTACACTGTATGTAAAGTTTAATAGATTAGAATATAGAATTAAAATGTCCTTCATAATTTTTCATTCACAGAAAAATAATGTCTATTACACATTTATCATGAGTGAAAGTACTTTAAATAGACAATATGTTCAAACTAATTGAAAATATACCTGAAGATAATGTTGTTGAATTACAGCAAGTACACTTTAACCTTCAATTTTATTCAGCTCAGATCTACAGTTCAATGCACTATCACTCGAAGTTGGTCGCATGTGTTATGAATTTTAAATTGTTGCTGTTGTAATCAGTGACGACCAGAAGTGGAAGAGCAAAAAGCAAGTAGGGAAGTCAAACATCTTTTAATCATATCAATGCGTAAAATTAATTTAGGGTCAAACACACCATAACACCGAGTTAGACACCCCCTCGAGAGGTGAATGTTGCCGACCGCTTGCTTCTCTAGTTATACCAACTTTAGTAACAACCGCAAGATAGCAATAAACAGCGGTCTGAGGAGGCACACAAAAACCTGAACCAAAACGCCACTCTATAGCCACAAATAATGCTCAGAACAGCACCTAACTTCATTAACAGTACAAATAGGGTCCCAGCCATAGCACTAGCCACCAAACATCTTTTTAGCTTTGCCTGATTTCTTTAACAAAGAGACTAAACACAACTCACCTACTCCCCTCCAGCAGCCGCTTGTTTGTAGCAAGACCTCAACCAGTCCATTATCAACTGCAGCGGGGTGACGCAGTTCAAGGAAGAACATTTATGATCATTTATTCATGGAAATGCAATCAGTCCGAGACGCTAAGGCAGAAGAAGTACAGTGCAAAATGATTAATATGGTGTTTATTACTTCAATGAAATGATAAAGTAATGACGGTGTTACGGGTGTCACCGTGTTACGGCGTGTTTGACCCTAAATTAATTTACACCGGAATATCCCTCTAAAGGGAAACTTTACCAGTTTGTAATACTCTTATCAACACGGAAGTGGACAAAGATGGTTCTTTTTTTTTTTAATTTAAATATTTGCTTTGACAAATCTGGGAATCAGTAGTTTTCAAAATGTATCTTTAGCTCATTTGAGCTCTTATGCTAGTGAATGAAGCATAAAATTGACACAACATAGAAAATATAAAAAGACATTTTATTGATTTAAAAGTCAACTTGGACTGATATTTTAGTTGGTTTGTTAATGTTACTCCCAATAAGTTAGAGAATGCAATGAAACCAGCTGTGGCAGATAATAAATTCATACTCCTACTGCATAAAAAATCATCACCAAGTCAAAATCGATTTGAAACAGTTTTTAGTTAACATTTAAACTATTTTACTCTGACCTGTCAAAATAAAGTTTACTGAAACCTGTAAAGTTATTTTTCAGCTCCCCAATTTAATTGTTAAAAGAGCCGCTTTTCATTGTGTGTAACTGCACGTTTGCATAAAACTAAAGCAGCAACTGCCAAAACTGTCATTCTCTAAATTCTCTGTCTTCTTGGCAGGATTTTTTGAGCCTCTTAAATTCTTGTCATTGGATCAGACATCGCTGTGCGATTCTCTTTGTGAAGTAGGAGTCTCTTTGTTGCCAAGTTTTGATGTGCTTGTACCAGCAAAACCCAAACAAGCCTCTCCATTTCACTTCTTACTCACAAACTTAATGGCCAGGGATTGTATTTCAAGAAGACAATCCCAGCATGCATTGGGTGACAGGCAGGGGAATACCTTGTCTGTTCACACCTGTGGGAAATTTACGGTCTCCACTTGACTTGAGCTGTACGGGTTTGGAGGGTGAAAGGAAATTAGAGCAGCCACAGGGCAACTACACAAACAAATGAACATCAGAAGAGCAGCTGTACTGAAAATCCCCCATCAGAAAAATACAACCAAATGTTTTTGGGAGTTACAATTGGAAGCTTCAGCCAAACCCTTTGCCAACAGGTTAAAGTGAGCCTCTATGTTTTTAGGCTGCGTAGTTTTGACTAAGTTTAATTAGTAGCCCAAAACAAAATCAAAATGTCTGCTTGTAAACTTAAAACCTGTGAAGGGTATAGCAGCCTATAGTAGAATTGAAACAGATTGAAACAGGGGCATCCATACTGACCGAGAATTTGGGTGCAGCTGAAAAACAAACCTACACAAAAAAGGGAGCTAGCCCATTTCTAGTGTGGTCTGACGCACAACAGTGATCTGCAGACCCAAAGGCTTCAGAATTAGGACTGCCATTCCGAGCCTCTTATAATTTGTAACTGCATGAAGTCAGCTTGTTTTAGGGCAAAGGTACTAAATGTCCTAAACACCCCAACACGGTCTCAAAACTGCAGTCTCTAGCTCAAAAGGTACATAATGTTGACTTTTGTTGCTGCAGTTCCTTGAATGGCCTCTAGAGGCTGGTTCAAAAAAGGAGCAAATTCCCTCAGACCCACATGGCAAAACTCACAACATTACTGCA